TGTTAAGGCGTGCACCACCAACATCCGGCTAAAAGTTGGTATTGTTTTTATTATGTATACAATATTCTGCCTGCATGTTGCCTGCGGGCCGGAAGAGGGCACCAGATCTCATTTACAGATGGTTGGGAGCCACCAAGTGGTTGCTGGGAATTGAATTCAGGATCTCTGGAAGAGCAGTCAGTGCTCTTAACCTCCAAGTCATCTCTCCAGCCCTACATTAACTCCTTATAAGCATCCTCTGCTTGAAATTTGGTTCAAATGAGTCTTGGTTCTGGAGTCTAGATCTGAGTAAGTTGAAGTCCTGAACCTGGCTGGGGATGCAGTTTAGTTGACAGAGTGTTTGTCTAGCATGCATGAAGTCCTGCGTTCAATCCTCAGCACTGCAGAAACCAGACATGGTAGCATATACTCAAGAGTTCAAGACCACCTCAGGCTACATGACACCCTGTGTCAAGATAAATACATACATAAATAAATAAGTAGAAGGAAAGGAATCCGGAACCATTGCCAAACTTTTTCTTTACTTAAGGATTGTTGTGAAGTCTACATAATAGAGTTATGGCTCACAGTGCAGTACTCTTTGTGTATTGAGGGTATGCATGCGCTGCCTGAATATGACGGTAGTACATGTATGTGACTATGCAGATACGCATGCCTATTCACCCACATGCTGAGGCCAGAGGTGACCTCTCAGTGTCTTCCTCTATACCTCTCCACCTTATTCCCTGAGATGAGGGTCTCTCACTGAACTAAGCCCACCATTTTGGATAGGCGGGATGGCCAGTGATCTCCTGGGTTCTGCTTGTCTCTTCTCACAAATGCTGGGATTACAAACACATGCAGCTATGCCCAGCTTTTTATATGGGTTCTGGAGATTGTAATTCAGTCCTCATAGTTGTCCTCTTACCCACTGAACCATCTCCCGGGCTCCAGTCCTTTTTGACAGTTTCACTAACAGATCCAGGGAAGCCAAGGGATTTGTATAAGCCCCATTAAAACCCAGATATCCTGATCCTAAATCTTTTTTTGCAATTTTGTTATTATTATGTGTTTGTTTGTGCAGAGATGTATATGATCTGTGTGTCGATGCAGATGCGAGTACAGTGTGGGTGGAGGTCAGAGAAGAACTTTAGTGTCAGTTCACCCTTTCATCTTCACATCTCTCATGTTTCTGCTACTCTGTCTAGCTGACCCATGAATGTCTGAACAATTCCCCTGCCTCTGCACCCATCTCAGCTTATGAATGCAGGGATTACACATACAAGCCACCACTTCCAGCTTTTTGTGAGTTCTTTGGATTGAAATGAAATCTTCCACCTTGTGCAACACACACTTTCACCTATTGGTACCTGACCCTAAATCTTTTTTGTTTTTTGTTTGTTTTTGTTTTTGTTTTTCGAGACAGGGTTTCTCTGTGTAGCTTTGGAGCCTATCCTGGCACTCGCTCTGCAGACCAGGTTGGCCTCAAACTCACAGAGATCCCACTGCCTCTGCCTCCTGAGTGCTGGGATTAAAGGCATGCACCACCAACGCCCGGCCTGACCCTAAATCTTATTAACTCATTTAAACTATTAAATATTTTGGGCATAAAAGTTATATCTATTACCTAACTTTGAAAGGAACTATAGAACCTCAAGTTTCCTGTGTCCTTCTTTGAGTCTCTGCCCCTTATCCTTCTCTTTTCTCCTACCCACGTAACCACTTTCCCAGATTTAGTGTTGTTTATTTCATTATGCTTGTATACTTACACTTCACATTTATGTATCTACAATCAATTTTTATATTGTTACATTTTAAGCTTTATATAAATGGTAATGCACTGCACATTTAATTCTAATAGAATTTTTTTACTCCCTTTGTATTTAATCATGTTAATATATTTCTTAGTCCATTAATGCTGCTATACCAAAATACCCAAGACTGGGTGATATATAAAAGGAAAAGAAATTTATTTTCTCACCATTCAGTAGCCTGGCAAATCCAAGTTCAAATGATTAACATGTTCAATTCTCTGGTAAAGGCTTCTCTTTGCATCTAAAATTACGCCTTGTTGCTGGACCCTCCAGAGGGGAGGAATGTTGTATCCTTAGGTGGAAGAAGGTGAAACAGAAAAAAAAATGGGTGCTACATAAGGCTTCTTTAATAAGGGCCTTACCCTATTCATAAGTGAAAATGATAAAAGATTCAATTTTACTGGATAGCAGCAGTTTTCCAACGTGGTTATATTAATGCAGCTCCCACCAGTCATTTATTTGAACTCCAATTGAGCTACAGCATCGTGAACACTTAGTGTTGTCTGGCTTTAATATTTTTGACAGTCTGATCTGTATGAAATGTCATCCCACTGTGGCTTTAATTTGAATGCATCTGATTACTACTGAAACTACACAAATCATTAGTCATTCATTCCACTTGTGCTTCTGCTAAGAAACTGTCCTCATTCTTTGCAAACTTTTAGAATGGCATATTTTTACTGATTTGTAACAGTTATTTTGCTCATGTATGTGCAGGTATGTGTGGAGGCCAGAGGTCAACCTTGGATGTCATTCTTCAAGAGGCACCATATACCATGTTTTCTGATACTGGATCTCTCACTGTTCTGGGGCTCACTGGTTAGGCTAGGCTAGCTGGCTGGCCACTAAGACCCGGGGATCCACCTGTCTCCACCTAGCAGTGCCAGGGTTGAAAACATGTACCACTCCATGCCCCACCTTTTAAACATGGGATCAAATCCAAGTTCTCATGCTTTCACAGAAAGTTCTTTGCCAACTGAACTATATCTCCTCGGCCTCCCAGAGTTCTTTATATTCCAGATGCTACACTGTTGTAAGTGCTTCAAATATTTTTACTCTGGATTTCCTTTTTTCTTTGTGAAACTTTTCACACAGAGACGTCTAAAATTTTACTGCAACCAAATGTGTTGATCCTTTTCTTTATGGCCATACTTTTTGGATTATATTAGCTTGCTTCTCTGTGTCCTCCTATCCATTTATGATATCCTTCACTGCTAGTCTAAAAAGTCACTCTCTTCCTTCTCTGCCTGCAGTGCTTGTCATGTTGACATGTGCTTTTCACTATAGCTATGATGACTTGGATGTGATTGGTCTCACATTCCGCAAAGATCTCTATGTGCAGGCCAAGCAAGTGGCTCCAGCTGAACCCATCAGAGTCCAGGGACCCCTTGCAGCTTTACAGGAGCAGCTTCTGCACAAACTTGGGGCCAATGCCCACCCTTTCACACTTCAGGTACTGCCCTCAAGTCTCAGGCAGTCTCCAGAGAAGATTAAGATATAAAAGAACAGGAAAGGTGTCCCTATTTTGCTGAGTTCCTTTTGATTTCTTAGATGGTTGCTAACCTGCCCTGTTCAGTGACACTGCAGCCTGGGCCTGAAGATTCAGGAAAGGTAAGGGAAGAAAGACAATGAGCCAGTCCAATGACATAACCAACTTTAAAAAAGGGAAGGATTTTTCTTGTCTCTTCCCCCCTTATGGTTCAGTCTATGGCAACTCAGTTTATTTGGGCTTGTGGCAACATAAATAAATGGGAGCACATGGTAGAAGAGTCATGGTCACCTCACAGGGCCCAGGGAACAAAAAGAATACCAAGAAGTGCATGCCTGAAATAACCGAACTTCCTCAACCTCTCTTAAGAGGTTTCAACACTTAAAATTTTTACCACCTCCCAATAGAAACATCAACTAAACTAGGTGTGGTTGTACACATTTTTAATCCCAGCAATTGGGAGGTGAGGTAGGCAGATCTCTGTTGAATTTGAAGCCCACCTGGTCAATATAGTGGGTTCCAGGTCAGCCAGGGCTACATACACAGTGAGACCCTGTCTCAAAAAGAAAAGAAACATAAGCTGGGGCCAAGCCTTTAATTCACAGGCATCTGAGTTACAATGGGGCATAAGGATGAAGACATTTTCATGTAGTCCCACAAGGGAGAGAGTGATAGAACTGGAAATACATTTTCTTTGTTCCTGATTCTTTGCAGCCTTGTGGGGTTGACTTTGAATTGAAGAGTTTCTGTTCAGAAAATCTGGATAAGAAAATCCCTAAGAGGTATTCTTCAGTCTTCTCCAAATTCTTGCCTTAAACCTCTATCACAGACCCTGCTCTTAGGACAGAAACAGACCTAGTCCATAGCACCATTGCCACCAACTTAGATGTCCTGTTCTGAGTCCCTCTGATTTCACTTCTCTTCTTCACTATAGGACATGGGTTGGCAGCCATGTAAAAAAACAAATGCCACATATTTACATTTTGTGGCCTAGCAAGTCTTGGTTGCAACTGCAATAACTCTGCTGTTGTTGCACTAGAACAGTCATGAATACTATAGAAATGAGAACATGTTGCTGTATTCTAACAAAACTGAATTTGTGGACACTGAAATTTGGATTTTATATAATATCTATATCATGGAATATGGCATTTTAATTTATTTTAGCCACCTACAATTGTAATCATCATTCTTAGATTGCAGACCACAGATAAACAAGAAACAGGGCAGATTTAGTCAGTGGGCCAGTTTGCAATCTTTTGGGCTGCAGAACATCAAGGATTCAAGGCATTCTCTGAGGGAGGACTTTCTCCCACCCCACCCCTGAGTAAGCACAAAGCTTTAAGAGTAGTATGGGTGGTCTGTGGTTCCGGAATTAGTTTTGTATCTTATCCTCTGACCTCTACTCAGTGATTCTGGTTATACGGAAAGTACAGTTTTCACCTCTGGAACCAGACCCTGGTCCCTGGGCACAGACCATTCCAAGCTTCTTTCTGTCAGCTCAGTCCCTACAACTCAAGGCCTGGATGGACAGGAAGGTTGGTGACCCCACCCCCAATATCATATTCCTTATTATTAGAACCCCTCTCATAGCCCCTTTTTTACTGATGTCTTAACTTGGGTAGGCAAAGATGGGAGCTGGGGAAACAACAGTTTTAAGGAAACAAAATTTCTAGATTTAGGTCTGGGTGTCCTCCCTCCAACCTTCTCCTGGTTCAGGTTCATTACCATGGATAAGCCATTTCTGTCCATGTTTCTATCAACAACTATACCAACAAGGTCATCAAAAGTATCAAGATCGCAGGTGAGTGTCTTATTGCTCTACATCTGAGCTCCAAACCACAGGCTCTAAAATGCAGCTGCACTCCTTACCCATTTACATTTATCTTAATTTTCTTTCCAAAACATGGTAATCACTGCTGGGCAGTGGTGGCACATGCCTTTAATATCAGCACTCAGAAGGCAGGGGCAGGCAGATCTCTGTGATGAGTTTGAGGCCAGCCTGGTCTATAGAGAAAGTTTCAAGATAGCCAGAGCTACACAGAGAAAGCCTATCTGGAAAAAACAAAAGGCAAACATGTGATCGCATCTTAATGCATATGTATAGGATCGTAGCAAAGGGCGGTAAGCTGGGGTCATGAAGGTGATTGCCTGATTACTCATGTTCTTTCCCTGGCTTTTTCAGTTTTGCCGGTCACAGATGTTGTCCGGTAATCACTAGACAAGTACACGAAGACTGTGTTCATTCAGGAGTTCACGTGAGCTGGTGCTGGGGCTAGGGAGAAAGTGGAGGGGATGAGTGAGATGGTGGGAAGAAGGCCAAGAGACAGAGAAAGGGTTTTGGAACAGAAGAAAAAGCAGGGAGAATCTAGAAATGAGGAATGTCACAGTCAGGACTGAAGTATAAAAAGGGAGGAAATCTCTGGAAGACCACCACAATGCTAGGACAGGGATTTCCCACCACAGTTAATTTTTCCTATTCTTCATAGATAAACCAATTCTCTTTACTTTTCCCAGTGGTTCTTGAGACTATGGCAGATACTCTTGGGAATAAAAGTACACTTAGTTGACAAGGTTGCTTAAATTCTTCTCTTGTTCCCTTTCAAAGAGAGACAGTAGCTGCTAACTCAAGCTTCTCCCAGACCTTTACAGTAACCCCACTCCCGGCTGCCAACTACCAGAAACAAGGCCTGGCACTGGATGGCAAATTCAAGCATGAAGCTACTAATCTGGCCTCTAGCACAATGTAAGCTCATAGGTAATTTGCAACCTCTACTTCCTATCCTTAAGCCATCCTACATGCTATATGTATGGTTCTGAGGTTTCCTCTTCAGTTGAGCCTATTTGTCTTTTAAAATGCCCCTCAGCCAGTGTTCAGCATGCTCGCAGGCCTCAGAGCCAGCCTCAAGCTAAATGAATACCTATTGGACTGATAGTAAGCTTAGGTCTTAGGTACTAAGAAAGGAAAATGCAGAGAACAGAAGATCTTTGTTATATAAGATTTTCACAGTCCAAACCAGTCATGGGGGTGCATACTTGTCATCCTAGAACAGTTAGTGGTCAGCACTGAGATAGGAGAATCTCAAGTTTGAGGCCTCCTTAGGCTATACAGCAAGACCCTGTCACAAAAATGATACCAACAAGGGCTGGTGCGATGCCTCAACAAATAAAGGTACCTGCTGTTAAGCTGACTGCTTGAGTTCAATCTCTAGGACCCACATGGTGAAGGAATCAATTCTTGTTGTCCTCTGACCTCCACATGTTTACCATGGCACCTGCACTCCCACATCCATACAAGGGCACAAGATAGATAAATAAAATGTAATAATAATAAAAAATGACCCAGGGTGGTGGTGGCACATGCCTTTAATCCCAGCACTCAGGAGGCACAGGCAGGTGCATCTCTGTGAGTTCAAGTCCAGCGTGCTCTACAGAGTGAGTTCCAGGACAGTCTCTGAAGCTACACGGAGAAACACCGTCTCAAAAAATCAAAATAAATAAAAAAGAAAAAAAGAACCCTGACGTTTAAAGACAAGGGACTTGTTCAAGGTTGAATAATTAGGAGGCAGACAGGATTCTAATACATGTCATCTGGCTCTAAACATGTGATCTCTACAATAGTTACTATCTAGAGAAGATAGAATGGAGTGGAAGGTTAGATGAGAAACGGTGGGAAAGGAGGATATAAAATGAGAATTATATGACAGGAATTCATTGAATTCTTTGATGCCATTCATTTGCTTCTGTGCCTTCAGATTAGCATTAGATGTGTTTCTCATCAAAGCCATTTGTCTACCATCCACAATCACAAGTGTCCAATTTCCCCCATGCCTTATCAAGCAACTTGTTGTTATTTGTAGAAATAGCCTTAGAAATTATCTAAGGAGCATTATTTTGTAGGGAGATCAGCACCCCAAAGCAATCAAAGATCCTTACAGCTTTTGGTATTTTATTTTTCAGTCAGCAGGTTTTTATTGATCACTTACTAAATGTTCATTCCTATGCAAAACAATCAGGATATGGAAGAAATTTAAGCCAGTCTTTGCCTTCAGTCAATATAAGGCCTAGATGAGGAACACAGAGGAATGCAAATGTAATCCAATAGTTAAGTGTTAGCTGCATTTGGTTCATATTATGAGTCCAATAGAAGTTAAAAGCCAACATAGCGGGCAAGGGATTCTCAGAGGAGATAGAATGAGCTAGATCTTGAAGAATGTGTAAAATCTGGATACTAATAATAGAAGAAAGAAACATTCCAGACTTGGAACATGGAAAGGGGAGAAGGTAAAAAGTGGGAATCCAACATGGCATTTTAAGGAGCACAAAAAGAAGACCGGTCTGCCTAGGTTGTGTTCTAGGTGTTTAGGAATTAGGGAAGAAATGGGAGAAGTAGATGAGGCTAGATTGCTTTGGTTCCTAAAAATCAAGCAAAAAAATCAATAATAAAATATGCCCTTGAACAGACAGTAACACAGTCAAATGGAAGTTTAGGAAGAAAAATGTCATCCCAATTGGGTAGAAACAATTACAGCCTGGAATATCATTTGGGAAAAGACACAGGCAATGGGGCATGGTAATAGGAAAGCACAGGAAGGATTTGGGGGAGCTAAATTCAATTATATTCCTAACACCCCAAAATTGACACTACAATGTCAAGACTTCAACCTGGAATGGACAAGGAGCTCCTGGAGATCCTGGTGTCCTACAAAGTTAGAGTCAACCTGATGGTGTCCTATGGGGGGGTAAGTGAAGGTTTCCAGTTGGTCTGGACAGGGTCTGGGGGCCAAGGGTTTCTTCCTTGTTTTCCTTCCTTTTGCACTGACCCATTCAAGGGATTCTGCTTCTTCCAGGCTAAGTTCACCTGTGAACTCAATGAACAAGTCACCCCCCCACTAAAGCCCCATTGTGTTACTAAATTAGCTTTGATTCCTTATCCCCAGTGAAACTGGGTTGACTCCTCCTCTACTAATTTGCCATTTTATTCACAGCATCCTAGGAGGTCTTCCAGCCAGGTAAGAAGCTAGGGTGACAGGACTAAGGCAAGGCAGGGAGGAAGAGGGCATAAAGAGGCCAAAAGAGTCCTCTGAAGAACAAGGACCTCCTAGACTGTTAAAACTGAAGGAAGGTCAGTGACGAGGTCCTTTCAGGACTTCAGTAACTTAACGTTGAAATGCTTGCAGTGACCTTGGTGTGGCGCTGCCCCTGATTCTGATCCATCCAAAGCCATCTCTTGGTGAGTGACCACATGAGGCTCCCAGGAACAATCATCCTGAGGGCTGGAGCCCAAGCTGTTCTTGGGAAAGAGTGGTTTGAGATGGAATGACAATAGGCAGATAGAATTTCTAGGTTTTAGGGAACATATAGGGGAGGGGAAGGCCCAGAAAAATAAAGGAGGGAGAAGAGCAAAGAAATTTCTTCATGGAACTGCAGAGCCACTTAGGACCTTCGGTTCCATTTTCCATCCCTTTCTATGCTTGCCACAGTGGCTACCAGGTAAATCACTATGAGGTTTGGAAGCCCCACCCCACCCCCTGCCTATTGCTGTTTTATGATGGAATTTTTAAAAGCTTCCTTCACGTATTGCTTTCAAGACTGTGAACCGGAAGCATGGTTTAGCTTCATGTCACAGTCTAGTGCTTCCCACAGCTCTCATTTTCCTGTCTGTTTCCCTGCCCGTCACCTGCTGCTCTTCTTGAAATTGTTCTTCCCCTTCATCCCTTCCATTTTTCCTCTTTCCTTCCCTCCAAAACCCTATTCTGTTGCTAAGTTGTCCTTATGATCACTTACCCCCTGACAAAACTGGGTTGGTTGCCCCTTCTCTATTTTAAGCTGTTGATTTGGGGTCCATTCTATCCACCTCATTCTTGCCTTTTTGAAATTGCTTCCCTCTACCCAACCCTCCTTTCCGTTGTTTCTCTTCTAACACTCCTGCTGCACCATTGTCTAGACAGATTCAAAAGGGAAACAAGCCCCCTGGAGGGGAGGGCTGAGAAGCAGGAAAGGGAATGCCTCTCTAGAATCAAGAATGTGGAGAAAACCCAGGAAAGAGTTTGCTAACCTTCCATTCCCCTCTGCTGCTTCTGCAAGCTCAGAGGACATAGTCATATCGAGGAGTTTATCCAGCAGAACAGCCAGGCACAGAGTTAGAAAGCTCCAGCAGGAAACGAAGTTAAGAGAAGCCTATCTGGGATAATCCTGTGTGGAAGTCTCCACTGCAACTCTAATCAATTGCTTTGTCCAGACATGGCTGGTGATCTCTGTGCTATTTCATTCCTTTTGGAGAGTACTGGAACTACAGAGAATGATGATCTGTCTGCTTCAGGCACCTGTCCCCTTCCCCGATACTTATTCACAAGCCTGATTAGATTACCTGTATTAAGTACTTTGCCCCTGTGTGGTTCCAGACTTTGACAAGTCACTTGCCTTTTCTCTCTTTCTTCAGCTATCCTGGTCCCCACCTGATCACTTATTCTTTTAGTTTAATTTTTTATTCATTTTACATATTAACCCCAGTTCCTCCTACTTCCCCTTCTCCAGCCCTCCCCCACCTCCCCTCTCCCATCCACTCCTCAGAGAGGGTAAGGCCTCCCAGTCAACAAAGTCTGGCATACCAAATTGAGACAGGACTGTAGGGGACAGTAAGCCATGCCTGCTAGAAGCTGGCTACAGGTGTGCCTGACCACGCCTGTCCCCTACACAGGACCAAGCCCTCCCCCTGTATCTTGGCTGAGCAAGGTATCTCACCACAAGCAATGGGCTCCAAAAAACCAGTTCATGCACCCGGGATAGGTTCTGGTCCCACTGCCAGGGCCACCCCAGCAGATCAAGCCGCACAACTGTCACCCACATTCTGAGGGCTTAGTTTAGTCCCATGCAGGTTCCCCAACTTTCAGTCCAGAGTTCCTGAGCTCCCACTAGCTCGGGTGAGCTGTCTCTGTGGTTTTCCCCATCATGATCTTGACCCTCCCTTGCTCATGTGATCCCTCCTCCCTCTCTTCAACTGAACTCCAGGAGCTCAGCCCAGTTGATCACTTATTCTTGTAATCACCTTCTGGCCTAGCAGTACCTAAGGCTTACACTGTAAGGAAGCCCAGAGAGGAAGCCAAAGGGGTGTGGCTCCCAGGCCTGGCTTTGGCTCCAGTTGCTACTGGAGAAGAGCGTGATGTAATGTTAGATGGTACAGGCTCAAGAGCAGGAAATCACTGTTACACCATCTCTACCTGTCCAGTTCAAGGAATGCTTTTGGTCCTTCTAAGGTGAGGCTAGAGGTTATGGCCTAGAGAGCAATAGGAAACACAAATGCCATTCTCTATTTTTTTTGTTTGTTTTTTCGAGACAGGGTTTCTCTGTGTAGCTTTGGAGCCTATCCTGGCACTCACTCTGTAGACCAGGCAGGCCTCGAACTCACAGAGATCTGCCTGTGTCTGCCTCCCGAGTGCTGGGATTAAAGGCGTGTGCCATCAAGGCCCGGCACAAATGCCATTCTCTATGCAAAGCCAGGCTCATATTTCTGGTCTGGGATGGGCTGTGAGATAAGAAGCTGTGAATACTATGGAATGAGATGGGGAGGCTACTTCTAGGGTGAGTCCCTCTTTGTTGGCACATGCTGGCAGGGGAGGGGGGACTTAGAGACTGTGAAGTAAGGACAACGGTTGGTCTTTCAAACAGACAAGTACCAGATGTATGGGCAGAAAGAAGTGATATGTCATCAATGTGGTGTGTAACATGGCTGATCTGAACAACAAATGGTAAGGTCTGTTGGTCTGCACACCTAAAGGCCAATCCGTGTGTTCTGTCTACATGGGGGAGCAGAAATCAGTGTTGGATCAGAAAAGTCATGGACTCAAGGCTTCTAGTGTTCCTGGCCCTAGACCAGCATCACTATATGTAAGAAGGGTTTAAGCTCACTCACTAACTACAGGGTTCCACCATCTGGTCCCTTTACTATCTTCCTTTGACTAGGCAACTCTCTGCAGAAGAGGGTAAAGAATAATCTAGGGACCTCAATGTGATGTTTTTTGAGACTAGTGCTGAAATCAGCTGCAGTGTGAAAAACAGAACACCCATTTCTCTTTAAGACACATCTTTTGCAATGTCTCTAGTTACCCATAACCACTTACTTTTAGTACCCTAGATTGCCTTATGATACCAAAGAGGCAAGGTTCATCCCCACTGCCACCCCACCTTGCAGCCTGAAAGCACAAAATCATCTCAGCCTCTGGACCTTTAAAAATTTTACTTGCACTATCCATATACTAAGACAGCTCTTCTAGTATAGTTTCGGCCCTTCCTTCCATAAATGGCTTCACCTCCACGGCTGGAAAAAGGACACATCTTTTTTTCTTAGCTTTTCTTGGGTAGGAAGTGTGAAAGCAGAGAAGCAAATTTCACTCCGTGTTAAAAGCTAGAACAATTTTTCTGTTTAAGTGGTAATGGCAAACAATTAACTTTAGCCAAAGGTGGCTCCTTTGACTTTAAGTGAAGACCACGTGGTCAGAATTCCTTTTTTTATTAGAAGCTGTTCCTAGGAGTTGAGATTGGACTCATATCCTAACTCTACTACTATCCTTACCATAAAACTTAAGGGCTGAAAACTGACTTGAGAATTTTCAGAATTCAGGCATCAAAACCCCTTTCCCTATCCATGGCTTAGGTCATGGCTGCCTAATTTGAAAGATAGCAGCCATCCTCTCCCATCCCTAGGGTTATGGTGGGTTGTTTCATTTTGTTTTTTCAAGACAGGGTTTCTTTGTGTAGCCCTGGCTGTCCTGGAACTCACTTTGTAAACCAGGCTGGCCTCGAACTCAGAGATCCTCCTGTCTCTACCTCCTATGTGTTGGGATTAAAGGCTGTTTTGTTGTTGTTATTGTTTGGGTTTTTTTGAGACTGGGTTTCTCTATGTCAGTGGCTCACAACCTGTGGGTCACAACCCCTTGGAAGGGGTTGTTGAACAACCCTTTTGCCAGGGTCACCTACGACCATGTGAAAACAGATATTTACACTATGATTCATAACCGTAGCAAAATTACATTTATGAAGTAGCAATGGAAATAATTTTATCATTGGGAGTCACCACAACATGAGGAGCTGCATTAAAGGGTCAAAACATTAGGAAGGCTGAGAACCACTGTTTTATGTAGTTTGGCTGTCCTGGAGTTTGCTATATAGACTAGTTTGACCTAGAACTCACAGAGACCCTCCTGCCTCTACTTCCTAAGTGTTGGGATCAAATGCACGCACCACCACACCTGGTTATGGTTTTAATACTCTCTTCCAACTCATATACTTAAGAATAAAACGACTTCCAGGCTGGAGAGAGATGGCTCAGAGGTTAAGAGCACTGGCTGCTCTTCCAGAGGTCCTGAGTTCAATTCTCAGCAACCCTATGATGACTCACAACCATCTATAATGAGACTGATTCTCTCTTCTGTAGTGCAGACATACATGGAGACAGGTTGTTGTATTCATAATGAATAAATGAATCTTTTAAAAAAAAGAATAAAACAACTTCTAGAAGCTGTCAGTTTCTTTTACATCTCACAGCTACTGAGTGACACAGAGCATCTTATCTTCATTGATGACTAAAATATATCTATACAGGATGCAGTTTCAAAGCAGCTAGGGTAACTTCAAAGGCTAGTACAATTTTGCTCCAGTTTCATTAAAATTTGTGTATGTATGATGCTTAAAAACATACACTGGAGAAAAGAAAGCATCTTCAAGAAATGGTGCTGGGAATACTGTATGTCTACATGCAGAAGGATAAAATTAGATCCGTATCTATCGACTTACACACACACACACACACACACACACACACACACACACACACATTCCAATGGGTTTAGAGACCTATGCATGAAACAGTACACTACATGATATGGTCATAGGGAAAGACTTTCTAATAAGACTCCATTTGCCAGTATTCAAGCATCTGTACTGGCCTGTCCTTGGGGTTCTGACAGGATATGCCCTCAGCTGCAGCCACTAAGAGCACCTCCTGTGCCTATTCAGTATGTTCCCTTTTAATAGGGCCCTGCCTTTCTCCCATCCCTCTCTTTCTATCCATCTGTCTGCCCCCCCCACGTCTTTTCTCTTTCTCACTGTTCCTGTCCCTGGAGGGTCTCCTCCCTCCATTTTCTCCCTAATTAAAAAAAAACTGTTGCATGGTGTCTTTCTCTCTCAATCCACTTTTTTAAAATTACAGCACCATTTACTCAAGAATTAAGACCAACAATTCTCAAATGGAACTTCATAAAACTGAAAAGCTCTGTATAGCCCACAGAGTGGTAGAAAAATCCTTGCCAGCTATACATCTCTCAGATAATTAATATCCATAATATATGAAGAACTAAAAAAAAACCCAAAACCAGAGTCAAAATAACAACAACAAAAATCAACCAAAATAAAACAACCCAAACGACCCATTCAAAAATGGGCCTGGAACCTAAACAAGGGAGTTCTCAAAAGAAAAAAAAATATGGCTAAGAAATATCTCAAAAAATGTTCATTGTCCCTAACAATGAGGAAAATGCAAATGAAAACAACTTTGAGATTTCACCTTATCCCAGTCAGAATGGCAAGCATCAACAAAACAATAAACAATACATACCGGAGGGAATACAAGGAAAAGGGAACTCTCATTCATTGTTGGTGGAATTGTAAACTGATGCAGCCACTCTGGAAACCAGCATGGAGAATTCTCAAAAGGCTAAAAATAAACCAACCGCATGACCCAGCTATACCACTTATTGGTATATGCCCAAAGAGTTGACATCTTCCTCTGAAGATACTTGCCCAGCCACGTTCGTTGCTGCTATATTCACAGTAGCTAGGGAATGGAAACACCTAAATGCCCTTGAATGGATAATGAAACATATATACTTTGGAGTATTATTCAGTTGTAAAGAAAAATAAAATCAGAAACTTTCCAGGTAAATGTATGGAACTAGAAAAGGCCATATTGAGTGAAGTAACCTAGAAGTTATATACACACGTAACAGTAACAATCCATGAAAGAAATATACAAGAGGCCAAGAATTTGAAAGAGATTGAGAAGGGGTATATGGGAAGGGTTTTTAATTTTTATTTTTTAATTTTTTAAAGACTTTATTTACTTATTATGTATACAACATTCTGTTTCCATGTATATCTGCACACCAGAAGAGGGCACCAGATCTCATAACGGATGGTTGTGAGCCACTATGTGGCTGCTGGGAATTGAACTTAGGACCTCTGGAAAAGCAGTCAGTGCTCTTAACCTCTGAGCCATCCCTCCAGCTCCTATGGGAAGGTTTAAAAGGAGAAAAGGGGGAGCAAATTATGTAATCATATGATATCAAAAAATAAAAGAATTTTGAAAAATCATGTATACACCTGCTTGTCTGTATGTGCCCCAAATGCATACCTGGTGGCTGCAGAGGCTGCAGTTACTGATGGTTTTGAGTTACCATGTAGGTGATGGGAATTGAACCTCTGGAGGAGACACCAATACTTTTAACTGATGAGGCATCTCTCCAGTCCCCATGGCTGGAACTCTTGTCCACACTTTTTAGATAAGTTGCTGTTTGCATTTATTTAATTACAGTGTGTGCATGTATGTGAACGTATGTGCCATGGCATGTTAAGTGGAGGTGAGAGGATACCCTGCAAGTCTGTTCTATCATGGGGATCATGGGGATCAAACTCAGGCAACTGGGCCTGGCAGCAAGTGCCTTCACCTGCTAAGCCACTTCATTGGCCCAGATTATTTTAAAACTTATTAGGTGGATGTTGTTGGATTTCCTTTCCCACTTTCCCAGGCTGCAAGCCACCTGCATTAAATAATATTTAACCTGAAATCCAACTCAGTGTCACTCTACTGGGCCTTGAAGAATCTTTATTATTTAAAACAATAACCATATTAGTAAAATTAAAATAATGAATACCTGTGAACCTCAGCCTAAAGCAGTGGTTCTCAACCTTCCTAATGCTGTGACCCCTTTAATCATCATGTTGTGGTGAACCCCAACCATAAAAATCATTCCATTGCTACTTCAAAACTGTATTTTTGTTACTGGTATGAATCATAACGTAAATATCTCATATGCAGGATATCTGATATTTGGCCCCTGTGAAAAGGTCGTTTTACTTCCAAAGGGATCATGACCCACAGGTTAAGAACTGCTATCCTAGAGCAAGATCTTTCCAAGAAACTTCTATGGGCTTACCCCTAGCCCATCATGTAATTCTCAAAGGTCTTGTGCAGGTAGCCATAGCTGTGGTGTGTTAATGACTACAAGGCTATGTCATACCCAGAAGACAGAAGATAGTTTTTTCCATCTTCTGGCTCCAACATATTTCCACCCCACCCCCTTTTCTGCAATGTTCCTTCACCTTAGATGGGATTAAAACTTGAGTGTTGAATTAATAAATTAATGGTGAGGAAAAAGTCTCAACTGAAGGCTACAGAGATGTTTCAGTCAGTAACCTTGTTGAACAAACATGAGGACATGAGTTTTAATCCAATAGTGCATTTAAAAATGCAGGATGTTCTCCCATCCAAGTACTAACCAGGCCTGACCCTGCTTAGCTTCCAAGATCAGACAAGATCGAGCTCATGATTTTTAGACATAGAGCAAAGGATCACTAGCCTACATTCCACACTGCCAGAGGAGCTAGGAAACAAGGAGGACCCCAAGAGAAGATTGCATAGTCCCTCAAAGAAGGGGATGGGGACAAGAACCCCTGACCAAATTGGAGCCCGGGGGCAGGGAGAGGAAGGAGAGTCTTCTGCTGTTCGAAGCAGAAACAGACACCCATAGCTAATCACTGAACCATACTAGTGGGATTCAGTTGTGGAGAGGGAAGAGGGTTGAGCAAAGGAGCCAAGACGGGGATGGAGAGACCTGCAGAAACAGTGGACCTGACCTACTGATAGAATGGAGACCCTAGTTATAAAGCTGGGGAAACAGCATTGGACCAAACCAAACCCTCTGAATGTGGGTGGCTACCAGCTAGGAGCCCAAGACAGTCTATGGCTCCTCTGACAGCGGAGCCTGTCTTTATCCCTAGAGCACAAATGGACTTTGGGAGTCCATTCCCTATGGAGGGATACTATGGCAGCCCAGACACAGCAAGGAGGGTCTAGACCCTCCCCCAAACAATATGACAGACTTTGAAGGTCCTTAGTAGAGGGCCTCACTATCCCTGGAGAGGAGTAGGAGTGTGTGGGTTGGGTGGGGAACATGGGAGAAGGGGAGGGTGAGGGAATGGGGGGGGGTGGATATGTAAATATGAGTAATTAAAAATAATAAAAAAATTTTAAAATGTTGGATGTTAAACTGGGTGGTGGCACATGCCTTTAATCCCAGCACTCAGGAGGCAGAGGCAGGGGGGTTTCTGTGTGTTTGAGACCAGCCTGGTCTACAAGAGCTACTTCCAGGACAGCCTCCAAAGCCACAGAGAAACCCTGTCTCAACCGCCCCCCCCCACCCGAAAAAACCTGTTAACTACAAATGGGTACAGTGCTATATACCTGTAATCCTTGAATTTCAGAGGCTAAAGCAGGAAGATCATGAGTGCAAGGCCAGCTTGGATTATGTAGCAAAAACCTGTCTCAGAAAAAAAAAACTCCACAAATTTATTAACCAATGAAAAAGTCTTGACTTTAATATTGTTCAATAGACTCAGCTACTAGTTTTGTGGAAATATCCAACCTTTTCTCAGATGGCCACTGGGGGTCAGCAGAGCAAATCAGAGGATAGGTTTCCCAGGAAACACAGCTCTGCTCAGAAGATACAGAGCCAAACAACAACAGAACTGAGCCTCTAGCAATATCTTTAGTATAGCTGGGGTAGGATTCGTTGGAAGAGCCAGTTTCTGTATTTCATCCATTTGAAAATGTGTTTACTTTGCTTATTTAAAAAGGTAGATTTCTAGTTCTCCCACAAACCAAAAGACTTGATCGCCAGAGGGAATTAAGAGATGCAGTTCAGCTCCCCAGGAATCTTGTAGGTACCTGCATGCCAAAGCCTGCAGATGGAGGACAACAACTTTGGAAATCAGTTCTCTCCCTCCACAATGTGTGTCCTGGGGATCAAACTCAGATTCAGGCTTGGAAGCAGGCATCCTTTTAACTCAGAGTTAAGTCAAAATTTGGGCTTTCATTGTAGTAAGTAGCACCTCCTTCAGAGGAAAAAAAAACCCTTTAAATTCTGAATGCTATTTTGATGTCAATGGAGATGGCACAGATGTGGTCTGTGCAGTATCTAATGGTCAGTCACTAAATATCTAGGATGACAGAAAGTTATTTGGGGGTGGGATAAGAAAAAGGAGGAAGTTGGCAGTCAACACTATTCAAACTACAAGTGGGAAATCAGGAACCAGTTTCCTACTGCTGCTTGTGAGAAGAAATGTATCCATGCTACTTACTTGGTTTAAGTTCCAGATATAGGTAGTTGTAAAAGTAGGTATGGTGTTGCTGTTTCTTCCAGTATTTGGTTGTTATGGGCTTTTTAAAAAAAAAAAAAAACTCGATGGCATTTTATACACAAACAGTATCACTCAAGCCACATTTATTTGGTATTGTGTTTTTACTTTGGGGAGGAAGGGGCCAAAACAGTGTCTCTTTGGAGTCTTCCAAGTGTGTTGGACTCCAAAGTTTATGTACAAGGACGGGATGGCATGGCCAGGCAAATCACATGGAAGGTCCCCAGACTCTATTTTTTTTCTACTGATTTCTAAAAATAAAATAAGCTGTGTAAGTATCTGTGGTACCTGATAAACGCTACTTGCTTTCTAGCTGGCTTTCCACACAGGCTACAGACATCTAGACATCATTATCTTTCTCCTTTTCCAGAATGAAACTCACCTAGGAAACTAGGGAACTCCAAGTACAGTAGAGTTTATATAGAATGTGGCTGGTAAGCTATCTCCCCATCCTCCCCCATCCACTAAGCCAGGAAGGCGCTGAGAGTAGAATTTCCTGACTGGCTTCTCAGAGGGCTAGCCAGCGTGCTCTGGCAGATTCCACATGGAGTGCTGTGGGCTGCAAGACTCTAGTGCACAGTCCTCTCTTTTTGGCGATGATAATCTGGGGTAAGAAAGAACACAATACATTATTTTCAGGCTGAGCTCCCAACTTCCCATTCCCAACCTTTAAGGGTTTGTTGTTATCTATATTAAAAAGAGTTTTAGTTACCCAGAGCCCTGCTTTGTAAGAAAAAAAAGTGCCTTACTGTAAGGAAAGAAGCGTACACGCATGCTGATTTCTCGAGCTGTCTTCAAGATTTCAACAGCCTGGAAAGAACACAGCAGCTTATACAAATGAAGAGACATTACCCAGGACAGGAACATAACAAAGGAATGTAATGTGCCACTTCAAACATCTAGGTCACTGATAGCTGTTCTCTTCTGGTACATTTCCCTTGAAGAGATGCTTTCTTACAGATTAGGCTAATCCTGTCCAACCTGTCCTGAGATGGCTTTGGCTTCCTATTTATTTATTTATTTATTTATTTATTTATTTATTTATTTATTTATTTATTTATTTATTTATTTATTTGGTTTTTCGAGACAGGGTTTCTCTGTGGCTTTGGAGGCTGTCCTGGAACTAGCTCTTGTAGACCAGGTTGGTCTTGAACTCACAGAGATCTGCCTGCCTCTGCCTCCCAAGTGCTCGGACTAAAGGCATGCGCTACCACTGCCCCGGATCTGAGATGGCTTCTTATAGGACTATAGCCCATGTGCTGTGCTTACTTTGCTGTGCTCAATATCCTGGAAATCCACATCATTCACAGCTAGAACTTGGTCCCCTTCTTGAAGTCCTGCTCGATGTGCATCAGAGTCTGGAATCACCTGTTAGTAAAGGGATAATACATGTAATCGAGACGGAGTAATTTCAGGAGACTGCAGGGGAAATTCAGTGCTGTTCAAATGTGTTATTTTCTGTGACACCACAGGGAGATAAGTGGCTTGCCAAATGAAATTTGGTTCTCAGTTTGCTTTTGGTTTTATAGATTTTTTTTTGAGACAGGGTTTCTCTGTGTAGTACCAGAACTTGATCTGTAACCAGGCAGACTTGAACTCAGAGATCCACCTCCTCCGACTCCCAAGAGCTGGGATCAAAAGTATGCATCTGGTTTTATAGATTCTTTGTTTTTTTTTTTTTTTTTCGAGATAGTCCGTTAGCCCTGGCTGTCTTTAAACTCAGAGATCCCCACCTGTCTCTGCCACCAGAGTGCTGGGATTAAAGGTGTGTGCCACTCCTATCTGGCCTGCTTAATAGATTCTTATTACTTACTCCTGATCTTCCTGCTTCTGCCTCGGGAGTTCTGACACAGATGCAATTTTGAGAAGGAAAGGGTAAGTTTCTATTATGTCCATTCTATGCCTCCACTGGATCATCCATTTTCCAGCCATTGGGGGCACCAGTGTATTTTTTAAAGTACCCTTTGTTTAAAGGGAAATAGCTAGTACTACAGCCTGCCACACACACATTCATACACAGACCTTGGAGATGAAGATGCCTAGTTGGGAGGCCTTTCCTCCTCGGATGTTAAATCCCAGCTGTAAGACAAAAGCACAGAATGGGGACTCAGTATAGACTATAAACACAAGAACTTTTAGGAGCATCAGTATACTCAGAAGAAAATGAGACACCATGGAAGCATTGGCTTTTCTGGTCACCTACTTACCAATCTACATCCATGCCCCAACCATGGCCAACTTCTGGAATGGCCAAAATGTAGAATGGAATAAGGAGCCTCTATAAATTTACCTGAGCACCAGGAGGCTTCTTCAGTGTGACGATTCGGGGCAGAAACTGGGTCAACTCATTGTTGTAGTCTGGGTGGTATACTCTCTGCAAGACACAGCAATCTCAGAAATCTAATTCCCAGTCTTAAGATGTCACATCTACTTTCTTTTAGAACATTAATATGTCTGCTATAAGTCTGGCAGTGGTAAAGTCATAGACTCAGTTTACACGGAACAGATGACAGTCTAAACGGGATATGCTAGCAGCCCCATAGATTCCTGTTCCTTTTTTTTTGGACAGGATGTAAACTGAGGTTCTGAATTTTCAGAATTCACTGTTGTGAAAGACTCTGGCAGGATGATTCTACAAGAAGTTTCCAATGGGTCCCTGTTGCTCAGAATTCGCCTAAGATTCACTCTGCATTGAGTTTCATAACCCTGCTACTATATCTTTCATAGATCTCATACTTGGAGGTGGGTATTCCTTATTCAGGAATGCAGATGGTTCCCACCTCATGAGGAGGAATCCACGCTGGAGGGTTCTCATAGGCAGGCAGGAAAACCACTGGGTAGTCATCATAAGAGATCCGGCTATCCATTTCAGGCAAAGCCCTGAAAACGATAAATCAAAGCAAACAAAAATGATTTTTTTTTTGGACCAAGCTCTCTTAAGTTTCAGAAAGCATCCCATCTTAAGGCCACCCAGCCCACATGGAGGCGTTAAGATTGGAGGGGGATAAGGGGGCAAAAAAAACCCTATCAATTTTTCTACATATCTAGATGCCTAGCACCTTGTTATGCACTCTAATGGTATGTTCTTATTTCTCACAACTTTATAAATATAGGTATCACCGCCTTCAACCTTGAGAAGAGGACATTAGAATAGCATTTACAAAGATCTACTCTAAAACAGCAAGGGAGTTGCCAACTCTTAACTATCCCATAAGGCTTGGGAACAGACAGGCACCTCCCACATTCTCTAGAGGTGCTCAGTAAAGGTGCCGTCCACAGATGGGCTCCGAAAGCACCAATTACCTTCTAGATCCAGGACCCGCATCCCGCCCGAATCCCGCGCTCACGACCACTTTTAACCTAGCACCACCTCACCAGCAAATAGGCCTCCCTCCGCGGCGCCTCGGCTCGCGGGCACTTCGGCCCAGGAACCGGAAGCGGATGCTTGCTACCAGCGAGCAGGAGAGGAGCTCGCTTTGGGCCAGCCAGCTCTCAAGCCCTCCCTAGCGTCACGTTGTGCGTGCTCACACACTTGCTCCTGTCACAGGCTGTCTGCACTCCGATTGGCTGGCGCCTCTGGGATCAATTTGAAACTTGGCGGTTAAAGCTCCAGTTGGAACAGGGCGCCAGGGAAGATCCGGGAAAAGGACGTTTAGTTTGGTGAGTTACAGGGCCGCGGTAGCTCAGATTCCGCCTCTTCTAGTACGTTAGGGCTTTGGCGTGGTCGCTGTTTCCGCTCGAGTTTTTTTTTTTTTTTCTTTTTTTCTTTTTCAGACACCCTAGTGTTGGGACTGACAGACCCTTAGGCGGTGGCCAAATCTGAGAGTGACGGGAGACTGATACCGCTGGGAGGGAGGTTGCCCCGCCGAGTTCCAAGGTCTTCTGCCCCCTGGGGGCCTTTCCGTCCCTGCCAGCCTCCGGAGCCCCCTCAGAGAACCTGCTTCAGCCAGCCTCCGGAGCCCCCTCAGAGAGCCGGCTTCACTCCTCGCGGACGCCTGCTGAGCTGGTACCATGAAAGAAGAGGTGAAGGGAATTCCTGTAAGAGTGGCACTGCGTTGTCGCCCCCTGGTCTCTAAAGAGATTAGTGAGGGCTGCCAGACGTGCCTTTCCTTTGTGCCCGGAGAGCCTCAGGTGGGTAAGAGTTTAGAGTCAACCTCTGCACCTGGGGCTGAAAGGCAGCGGGGGGCGTGGTCTGGGTTTTTAGCTCCCCACCCCCCAATGTCTTGTCTCTTGCCTTTTGCAGGTGGTAGTTGGTACGGATAAATCATTTACCTACGATTTTGTGTTTGACCCCTCTACTGAGCAGGAAGAGGTCTTTAATACAGCAGTAGCTCCACTCATAAAAGGCATATTTAAAGGTGAGGCTGTTTAATTTACCTACTGTTTTTTGAGCATATATTCTGTGTGGGTCATATCAGCACTATAAGTAGGAATGTCTGAAACAGACTCCTTCCTATAAAGAGCCTGCAGCCTAGTAAAATTTGTGAAAGCCTTTCTACCCTTGAAGCTAGCTTTAGACTGCCCTGTTTACCGTTGGCCTAGACATATTTTTATTGTCTTGGAATCATTAGAAGATCAGCTCACCCCTCAGAGTATGGTGGCACAAGTCTTTAATCCCAGTGCTTGGGAGGCACAGGCAGGCAGGTCTCTGAGTTCCAGGCCAGCCTGGCCTACACAAAGAAACCCTGTCTCACAAACACACAAAATCCAAAGCAAAATATAGAATATATGGTCTTTGCTTGGTTCTGATCATGTACAAACCTGCTGGAGTCACAAGTGATAGAGTCTCTGGGCTCTGAAGGAGTTCAAAGTACAGAGGGTCAGAGAACAGGTAGATGACTATGTAAGTGAGTTTGAATACATAGAAAAAAATTACAGTTTTACACCTGTTTCATAACTTCTTGTGAGTTTTCTTTTTCTTTTTTCCCTGGAGTATTTTATAGCCCAGGTTGGCTATAAATTCACAATGTAGCCAAAAATGGATGTGATAGTACATGCATTTAATCCTAGCATGCAGGGGGCAGGCAGAGCAAAAGTGAATCTCTGTAAATTAAAGCCCAGCCTGGTCTGGTCTACACATATAGGGTGCCAGGCCAGCCAAAGCTACATAGTGAGACCCTGTTTAATGTGTAGCATGTGTGAATATACACAGTGAATCCTACTGTAGTAGTTTTACTACTTTCCTGCAAAGTGGTATGAAAAATAGAAGGTTGGCACTAACTCCTTTTTAGGTGGATTTAGGTGAATTTCCAAGCAGAGGGAACTTTTGAGGTAGATATTGAATGAGTAGAATTTTTAGACAGTTTTTTTAAACCCTTGAATATTATACCCAGTTAATAATATTTACTGCAGAAGCTAAGGTTTTAATAGCAGGATTCCAAAGAGAGTAGAACCTGAGAGATGTCTAATTGTTATTTTGGTACAATGGCTATTCAAGTTACTTTTTTCTTTTTTTTGTAATTTTTTTATTAGTTCAAATTAGGGACAAGCTTGCTTCACATTTCAATCCCTCCTCCCTCTCCCTCCCCTCCCAACCTCCCGCTTGCCCCCCACCCCATCCACCCTCCACTCCCCTGACTGGGTAGGACCCTTGACAGGGGCTCCCCAAAGTCCACCACATCATCCTGGCCCGGGCCTAGGCTCTCCCCCATGTGTCCAGGCCGAGACGTGTGATGGGCTCTCAAAGTCCCTTCTTACACCAGGGAAAAATACTAATACATAACCAGGGGCACCCTAGAGTGCAGAGGCCTCCTCATTGACATCCAGTTTCAGGGGTCTGGATCAGTCCTGTGCCGGCCTCCCAGGCAGCAGTCTGGGATCCATGTGCTCCCCCTTGTTCAGGTCAGCTGTTTCTTGGGTTTCTCCAACCAGGTACAGACCCCTTCGTTCTTCATTCCTCCCTCTCTTCAACTAGGTTTCAGATTTCAGCTCAGTGTATTTCTGTGGATGTCTGTCTTTGCTTCCATCAGCCACTGGATGAGGGCTCTAGGATGGCATAAAAAAGTAGTCATCAGTCTCATTATAGGGGAAGGGCATTTAGGTTATCCTCTCTACCATGGCCTAGATAGTCAGTTCCTGTCATCATTGTAGGTCTCTGGAAATCTCCCTAGTGCCAGATCTCTCCTTGGACCTATAATGGCTCCCTCTGATACGGTAGCTCTCATCCTGGTCTCTCCTCTATTCTTCCCCCAAATCAGCATTTCTGCTCCTCCATTTCCTCCTCTCCCCTCCTCCTCTCCTCCTCTCATTCTGCCAGCTCCCTCTCCCCTACCCCTCATGCTACCAATTAGCTCAGGAGGTCCTGACCCTTCCCATTCTCAGGGGACCATGCATTTTTCCCTGAGTCCTTCTAGTTTCCTACTTTCTTTGGTGAAGAGGACTGTAGGCTGGTAATCTTTACTCTGTGTCTAGAATTCATATATGAGTGAGTACATGCCATGTTTATCTTTTGTGACTGGGTTACCTCACTCAGTATGGTTTCTTCTAGTTCCATCCATTTGCCTGCGAATTTCAAGATTCCATTGTTGTTTCTGCTGAGTAGTACTCCATTGTATAAATGTACCACATTTTCTCTTTCCATTCTTCAGTTGAGGGGCATCTAGGTTGCTTCCAGGTTCTGGCTATTACAAACAATGCTGCTATGAACATGGTTGAACATATGTCCTTGCTGTATGAACATGCACTATTTGGGTATATGCCCAAGAGAGGAATTGCTGGATCTTGAAGTAGACTGATACCCATTTTTCTGAGCAATCGTCATACTGATTTCCAAAGTGGTCTTACAAGTTTGCACTCCCACCAGCAATGGAGGAGTGTTCCTTCTTCTCCACAACCTCTCCAGCATAGGTTGACATTGGTATTTTTGATTTTAACCCGATCTTGTCTAATATTCCATTTGTATACATGAACTGTTTTGTTGAGTCTTTTCTTCTTTTTGGATTAAACATTTAAAAAAAAACATAGCATTTTTTTACATGCATATGAAAGTTTATCATTGTCACCCCAGCTCTCCTAACTCATTTCCATTTAGTTCTGCATCCCACTTTTTTTTTCTTTTTTTATTAAATTATTAATATTTTCACATATA